TGCAGTGAGCACATCTCAGCCCTGGTTCAGGCCAGGTACAGTGTGCATGCAGTGAGCATATCTCAGCTCTGTTTCAGGCCAGGTACAGTGTGCTTGCAGTGAGCACAGGCACAGCCTGAGAGCAGCCTGAGTGCCCCGTGGCACAGCTGGGCAATCCGGGCACGTGGGTGGCACAGGGCTCATTGCAACTCCTCCAAGCCTTGTGTTTGCACTGCAGTGTCCCCAGCCTAAAAATATTCTTCTGTCTTCATGGTGCACCTATGCTATGTCACCAGAATTTGGGAGACTGATTAGCTGCATCCTGCAGAAGACTGAAGCAGCCTTACTGCAAATCCTGGACCAGAGACCAGAGAATGGGAAAGGCTGTCTCCCAGGCATGTATTTTTGCTGCCCTGTTTTTCTCCCTGTGCTATCGATCTAGTGGCTTGCTAAGACACAGCCCTGCCTGCTGTAGTGGTCTAATTCATTTTTAAGCATCATTATTTTTGATGTTGTGGTCTTCCCATGCTTCAGGTGCTTCTCACCGCCCATCCCCAAAAATGTCCATTCCTGTCTGTCTCCAGGCGTGAGCTGCTTCCACATGTGTGTGTGCATAGCAAGGAGATGGAGAGGCAGCTTCAGCTACACTAAGCAATTAAACTCCAGTAGCTCAGGGATGAGCAGGAGGCTGTGATTTTCTTTTCCTTTGCAGTAATTGCCTCTGCAATCAGCTTTGATCACCCAAGAGCAGAAGAGATGAGTGCTGCAAGTTGACATCAGTGGTTTTAATATATCCATTTACATATACAGGAGTAGTGCAGCATACAGCTTTCCATAGCGCCTCTGACCTGAAACCATCGCCGCTCCATAGATACCTCATTTAATTTAATACTTCACCACCACTGCGGAAGCCATAGGATGGGGATGGGAGGGGGGATAATCAAGCCCTCACTCTCTCGCTCTCTGTGCATGTCTGTAAAAATGACATGAAAGTAATTGCTTTTGAAAAGCAAAGCAGAAATGGCACAATTGATTCCACTTAAATGAGAGGAGAAGGGGTGGGGGTGGGGGACGCTTACCCTAAACATTCCACCTTCTTTCCTGCTGCAAGCACATCAATGCGTGGGGCTGCACTGGGACAGAGGAAAGATGGGCTGGTCTGAATGGCAAGGGAAGGAGGGAGCTTGGGCAGGCAGTGCTGCTTTGGGCAGGATGCACCCCTTGGCAGCCTGGACCCACAGRCAGATGCTGCTCCACGCAGCCCTGTGACGTGCCCTGTTGTCACAAACTCCTGGTGCCAGAGAGCTGGCAGGGAGCCTCAGTGCACCGAGAATCCTATCATCATCCCTCTGCCTCCCAAACCCTCTGCCTGCCTGCAGTCGGGGGGTGGGGGATGATGAGGAGACATCAACTCCTCTSCATCTCTCAGCTCTCTCATTATCCCTGCTGACAAAGCTTTGTGAGCCTATGGTTTTGAAATCTGTCCAGCCTGCTGCTGCTGGTGGATGCTGACCCTTCGACCAAGGACCCCTTAGTGCCTTCTCTGTGAGCTGCCTGGCACCACTCAGCTCCACATCAGTGGCAGTTGGGACCTGGCACTGTGGGCTGCACACTGCCCGTGTTTGCTGAAATACATCTTTAATGTAGGCATTAACATTACTTCATGTTAATTACATGCAAATTGATTATTGGYGTATTTATTGAATGTTGACAGCTGGGTGACAGTCCTCAATAAATATGTTTTACTATTTAGTTAGCATTAATTAATATCAAAATCCTCTCTAGGTTTAGCAAGTTAATGAAYATCGATGAGACCCCTCTTGCTGCCAGTGTTGCTGGATGTTGGCAGCGTTGCTGGCTGTGTCTGCCAGCAATGTGGGGCACAGGTGGGCAGCAGCAGTGCTGGAAGGACTCATGGACACATTTGCAGAGGGAGAAGCCTTGGGAGAAATCTTGGAAAAGCTGCCATGCAGCAGAGCCCTSTTGAAGGCAGGAGGGTTGCAGCTTGAGCCAAGGCGGTGGTGGCCGGGCAATGCTTGCAGGAAGCTCTGGAGCCCCTTTCTCCAGACCCAGGGCTGCTTCCAGACACATCTGAGCAGCAGATGCAGGATGCTGTTSTCACTGCAGTGAGCACATCACTGCACACAGGACCCCTGGTTATGGCAGGGCATGGCACAATCCCCAGCCAGCACTGCAGAGGACTTCCYAGCAGACCAGCTCCTAAGCTGTGGCCAGCATTTTCTCTTGTTCCCCACCCTCAGCAAGGCAGGAGCCACACAGTGCCCACTGCCTGGGGCTCCTCTCGCCCATCACGAGAAGCWGAGCAGCATCCCCGAGGCGTAAATGGCCAAGGCCTCGGGGAGAGTGGCTCTGCCCTGGGGTCGACACTCCAGTCTTGTCATGCTCGTGCTCCTTGGATGATATTCGGTGATTCTTCTTTGCTTCTGCCTTGTCTARACACCTTAGAGCCAGGACACCAAGAAGGAAAACGCTGAAGCCTTGGAGGCACTGCAGTTGAGGCAGAACAGGAGGGAGATGGACACACCATGGAGTGCCCGAGCCCGTTCTGCTCTCTCCGAGCACAGCACACACGAGGGAAATGCCTCAAGATGCATTCCCACACACGAGGGAAATGCCTCAAGAGCTCCACACGCTCCACAACAGGAGCTGCCTGTTTGGTTACTTGGAATAGAATAACTTTGGTCTTGCTCTTTGTTTCCCTCACCCTCCTGTGAGCAGGTGCCTCCGTTGGCAGAATCTCTGCTTTACCGAGCTGGGCATGTCTGCCTGCTGTGGGCAAGCACAACAAATCACAACTCCCATCTTGGCCTCCTGTCCCCACAACATCAGATTTTTGCAGCTGATGTGTGCGGGGGGTGTCTCCTCCTGCCAATCCCCACCCCCAGCAGTATCAGGCCTGTGCTGTTCAGGGTTTTGTTAAGCCGTTTAGTATTAATTGATTTTTTTTTCCATTTTTTCTTTCTTTCCCTGGGCGGGTCAATAGCTGGATGCTCAGGAGCAGAGGATCTATCAACTGCAGACTAAGCAGAGGGAGAGGCAGGCAGAACAGGAGCAGAAATGCAGCCAGAGCAGCAGCTCAGCCAGGACCTGCGGGGCATCCACCAGCTACGGAAGGGMTCTTGAAGCAGGTAGGAGAAGATGCCAGTGCACTCTGGCTCGGCAGCCCAGGCTGGGAAGGGAACTCCATTTGATGCATTCACAGCAGCAGGGATAATCTGCTGCTCYTGTTTACGTGGCAGCATAAGGAAGGGCTGGAGATGTGAGAGCAGAGTGTGTCACCTCCCTGTGAGGAGGGGAGGTCGAGGGCAGCAGGGAGATGGCTCCAGCTCTGCTGGCTGTAAATGGGTGCTGGGATTGCAATTGCTGGGGGGGTGGGATGTCACGCTCAGCTCCCATGGGTGTTGCTCCTGCTGCTGSCCTTGGAGAGACGGGCAGAGGATGGCTGCAAAGACACTGCCTGAGGACAGCACTGCCCTGGCTAGAGCTCACGGTGATGTGCTGTGAAACAGGAGATGAGGCTCACTCAGACCTGTTCAGCCATGCTGCTGGGGGTGGGAGAAGCTGCTGGCAGCCTGTGCCAGTCTGCTCCACGCTGGCTCTGTCTGTCCCTGCCCCGCCACCAAGCCCTGTGTGTCAGAAGCTGTAGGGTCAGACCCTTTGCTCAGTGTGTTCCCCCTGCGTGTGAGCCTGGCTTGGGAAAGGACATCACTCCTGTGTCTGCCTGTTGTCCGTTCAGGCATTCCTCAGTGCACTCCAACCACAAGCTCTCATTTGGATCCACATGGCAAACAGGGGTGAGGAGAGCTGATCCTGGAAACTGGGAAGCTCCTCCTGCCACAAATTGCAGCATTACTTGCTTAACCRGGTACTCGTCATTTCCTTCAGCACTACATAAGCCATAAAAAAAAAGTTAACAACTTGCGAGTGAAATATGCTCGGGGTTCTGGTAGAATAAACCAGGTACTTTTGACATTGGAGCAGCAGGTACAAACATACTGGATGACAGGATGAGCTCAGCACTACTGGTTTGTCTCAGCAGCAGTTCAGAGGGCAGCATTTAAAATGGGGGGGTGGAGTGATCCCCTTATTTGTCAAAGTGGAAACATTTTGTTTCATTTAATGTGGTGATGATGAATATRTTCCTATGAATATGTTCATATATGTATAATGATACATACATTGCAATATATATGAACGCAATGTACTGAGTAGATTTATTGCACTTGAAAGAAGGTTGCAATTGTTCTAATTGCTCCCACATCATCCATTGTTCTGTGTGTGAGGAGCCAGTCCAGCATGTAGGCTGAGCTGCTCCTAGCAAGCCCACRTTCCAACTGCTCACAGTGAAAGTGAGAGCAGGATGTGTGTGCCTTTGCATGTGTTCATGGATGGTGGCAAATGGATGAAGGCAGAAGAGCATCAGCATGTGCATTTGTTTTGTTCTGCATATGCATATGGGTCACCGTGTTTTGATTTGTGAAAGGACAGCACAACAGGGTGGGAGTAACACTGCTTCTTCCCACTCTTTTCCCTTCCCTTCCCTTCCCTTCCCTTCCCTTCCCTTCCCTTCCCTTCCCTTCCCTTCCCTTCCCTTCCCT